TCTCTCTCTCTCTCTCTCTCTCTCTCTCTGTGTTCATATATGTGTGTTCGTGTGGCTGTCGACGTCGTTCGACTGCATGTTTTGGGTTTGTATGTGAGCAGGTGACGTTTAAGGAAGCGGAGGCAGCGAAGAAGGCGTGCGAGGACGCGACGCCGATGATCAACGGCCGCCGCGCCAACTGCAACCTCGCCTCTCTCGGCGCCAAGCGCAGCGGCCTCCGCCCATCTCCTCCCTCCACGCCGGCGCCGCTCCCCTCCCACGCTCACCACCCCCCGCCTGGTATATCACGTGCTCACGCCTCTCTTCTCACTCAGTATAAAACATTTTCTTTCTCCTAGCAAAGAGAGGAGGAGATTGCTGATGACGTGATCTTTGTTGCGCTTGGTGGTCGGGTGTGAGCCGATGCAGGGATGGTGGTGGTATCAAGGGGCGTGTCGCCGGCAGCGCAGTGGTACTATCCCCCCACCTCGGGGACGCCGCCACCGCCGTCGCCGTTCCAGCTCCAACACTACCACGGCGTCGTCCCCTTCTACGCCGCTGCCGCTTACGGGTAAGTCTTTAACCCTCCATATAATTTCCTGCCGCAAGTAGCAGCGGCGGTGGCGCGACCGTCATCGCCCGGTCAACAACGCTCACGGAACCAGATGCAAATTCCATAGATCCCCTTCCCTCGGGAACCGTTCATCTCACTTTTCTATTTAATATCGACCGTCCATATCTTTGAACACGGAAAATTATATATATATAAAATGATCCGATCAGATGGACGGTTAAGATTAAAACAGAAAGTGGAACGGACGGTCGTAGATTTATACATTCTGTGTCTCGAGGGATCGGCACATGCTATGTGGTCTCCTGGTCACATGGCCATCTGGTCGACCACGTGGTTACAAGGCACTGGTGTAGTCACCGGGCCCGCTTTGGTTGAGTTGGATCGCCAGAACTAAACATGAACCCGTCATGTCGTGATGAGGGTAACGAAGTGTGACTCACACAAGTTGTTCATGCTCTGCAGGTACTCCCCCAATTACGTGACAGACTTGGGTTACAATGCGGTAATCTCACCATTCCTGTCTGTGATATCCTGGTTGATCTGATACTACCAAACTACGGACCATCGATCTTCTTTTCTTACAATAAAAGCACCACAGAAATGACTCCCATTCATTCCTGGTTTTGTTTAGCAGAAGCTGAGCCACGGTGGTGGTGGTGGTGGTGGTGGCGGAGGAGGAGGAGGATACTTCCAGGGGCAGTTCTCTTACCCAGCACAAGGTGGGATGGTTGCTCCTCATGGAATGCTGCCAGTGTACCCACTGTATCACCTCCAGAATCAGCAGGGTATGGGAGTGCCCGCCCACTTCTTCCCTCCCGCAGGTGCTGCAATGACAACCATTCCCACCATCATCTCCAAGCCCACCGTCATCCCTCCTCCAGCCACTGGTAACTTTCCTATCGAATTAAGCTTTTTATATTATTGATTATGCAATCAAAATATCTATCATGGTATTAAAATAGGTAAATACTCGTGCAATGTCTATGCTTGCAAGTGAAAGAGCATTTTAGAGCATATTAGCATACCATATATTGGCATTTTCCTGACAGCTTGAATATTTGGGATTTGTGGTAATTAACTCAAAATATTTATGATTTCATCTATGAGCAGCATCTCGGTTGATGATCTATGGCAAGTTCTTCATCTTGATGTAATTATCATATATTTATGATTTTTTTCTCAAAACAAAGAAAAAAAAAAGAACCAACATTAACCAGAAATGAGAAATCTAAGAAGGTATAGGCAGATGTAAGTTCTTTTTGCCAAGTGTTGGGACTGCAGCAAGAAAATACCTTCGTTGGTATATATTTACAGATTCATAGATGATTTACTGTAGAAAGTCTGAAGCACGTTCACTGATATCATGACAGTCTGTGTGGCAGTGGAACAAGTCAAAGGAAGCAGCTGAATGGATCATCAATAGAGGCAGCTCAACAAGACCATCATCATGTTCTGCACATCTGAGCAAGTGTTCTTTCATTCGTTCCATTGGATCCATCAGGGATTCTTTGATTCTCTCTAACCTGCATCGCTGTGATGCGCCAATCTGTAACAAAAGCATTTTTGTTTACCAACTTATTTTATGGTAAACTCTTGATGGGTTTAAGTCAAACTGGTCTTTCTTGCTGAAGTTATTTGGTTGCTTTGCCTCGCCTAAGTATTGAGTACCTGCAAAGCATGTGTTTTCTTCTTGTCTATTATCTTAGTGTTCATAGCATCAAAAGCTCTAATATTAGAGTTGCTGCTTGTTCCGTGGTAAGGCTAATCTACTATGGAGTAACTTAGGCTGGGAAAAGGAAGACGAGTGTTCCTTCCATGTCCAACAACTACGGACGAATGTTTTGTTCTTGATGAGAAGGCCCGCCGCGAATGGAGCAACACTGGATTCGGCCTCTGTCTACTGGGCTGACAAGTATGTGCAGCTGTAGCTGAGAGACAAGAAGCCATACCACCATGAACAACACCAGGGAGCTTGTTAAGCTAGCTGATCGCAGTGAAGTTAGTATCATTATGATATGCCTCTAACGTGACTCGATTTCGAGAGCCCTAATAAATTTCTCCTTCGACGTAAGATTTAATCTACTGTATTAGTACTTTTCTACGTCGGTCATGAACGATAGTTTTACGAGGAAAAGGAAAATAATTGGCGTTGAAGAAGATGAACTTTGAATCGAAAGCTTACATCGTCCCATCACCACCTCATTTGATCTGCCAAAGAAGCATCCGACTTGGTTGGCTTTCTTTGTGCTTCCTCGTGTGTTATTCCCGGGAAGAGGGAGACTCGTTGGGTATTCTTAGTACCACGTACAAATGGAGGAATCGAGTGGCGAGGATGGATCGGAGACTCACTCCTCATCACCTACAATAATACAAGACAGAAAGATGTGGATTGGATTATACAACTCCTTCAAGAATTGCTGCTGCCAAGCTGAGTCAATGCAACCCATGAAGTCTCTGCTCCGTGAGTGATGCTGAGTCAATGCGGCGATGGCGATGTCCATGGGTTATTTTACTCTCTCTCTCTCTCTCTCTCTCTCTCTCTTCAGAAGCAGTGGATTCAGATATTATTTTCTTGTTGTAGGAGGAGTCCTTTCATGGTTTTCTTTGAGCTCGTGACCAAGCCAACCTAGTTGAGAAGCCAACCACAGGTAGATTTCGCTTTGTCTCTCACGGCGAGTTGAAATGATGCAAGAAGGGGTTCCTTATTGATGCCGTCGACTGGTTTAGCTGTGACGTAAATGACCGAGAAACAACGTGATGCAGCGAAAGGCGATGAGGGAGTGCGTGCTTCGGGCGACACCAACACGTTTTTCGTGGGCGCTGACTTACCATGAATGGAAACGAATCGCCCACGTCGAACGTAACCTTCTCACCGCGACCCACTTGCTAAATATCGATAAGATTTATGAGCTTTGTGGGCCCCTACGCCACTTGCTTTTCAGCACGTCACGATTCCGTGTTCAGCCTATTTCTTGATCTTATTATCTTATTTATTATTATTATTATTATTATTTTGAAGATTTCACCTGAAAAATTGATTCTTTAATCTAAAATTCTCGAGTTCAAATTCGAATCGTCCGAACATATCGAATCCTCACATCAATTGTACATTGAGAAAATGCTTTTTTACTTTAATACAAATATTATCCTTTTTGCATTTTTTTTAATAAAGTATATACAATCAACCTAAACAATTAAAATATTGTGACTTGCAATTATTGTTGTGTGCTCTTATAATGATCGTCGAACATAAACTTAGAGAAAGGACAAATCATAGTGCAAGTCAATCAAAAAAGACGGCCAATTCATTTGCAACGTGTATTATATATATATGTATATATATATATGTATATTAAAGGTAGGTTCGAGAGGAAGTGGAAATTGCCAACGAATTCCACATACCAACAAATGGTAGGCCAGAAATGAATTGGAACTTGAGGCAATAAAGATGTGTCCCTACCTATTATTCTGAAGTACATGGCCCCACATCATCTTGTTCATAGCAAAACCTAGGAAAGCAACCAATGTTATTATTATTATTATTATGACACTTGTTTGCCCTTTCCTTTCCTGTGATCCAGTGGACAAGATATGGGAGGAGATCATCATGATCAATGTTCATGTAGCAATTAAAAAAGGACAACCATGCATTTCATCAATCACATTAATAAATGTGCATACTGTTGTATATGTTAGTGTTAGGTGTCTAAAATGCATATGACCGATCTTAGACCGTGTGGAGTTTAACATATTACCTAGTGATAGCAAGAGGGCACTCGTGGAATGTGAGAGGAGATCCATGTATCAACAATTGATTTTATTTATTTATATATATAACTTAAATTAACTAATATAAACTATGATTGAGCATGAAGAATGTAAGTGTTACTGGGAGCCTTAATATTTAATTATATTTAAGATAATGAGAAACGTTGGATTCGATGCTATTTTCGATCTAAATAAAATTGATGGAGAATGTAAGAATGTAAGATCGCTTTAAATTCGTGTGTGGAGTCGTATCATAAAATATTGATGCTTAGTTGTTTCCATTTGAATATAATATTGGATCAATTTTTTTTATTTAGCGCTCTTTTTTTTTTCTCACGTAGTCTTTTTTTATTTCTTAAAAAAAATAAAATTGTCAACATGGAGGGTGAAAGAACAAAAGGCAACATGGAGAGTGAAGGAGATGGTGAGGGCATAAGGGTTAAAAGTGGAGAGGGAGAGCATATGATGGAAGAGGGTGAGGGCACTAGTAGGGTTGGGGCCAATGATGATATCACGGATGATGATGTTCTAATCATTGGTGGTGGTGGTAGGGTGGGGGGTGGAGCAGAAGGTGACGAGGACATGAGTAAGGTCACCGAATGGGTAAAGGGCATATAGCTTAACGAAAGCAGTACACCAGGAAAAGGAGCTACCAAAGAGGTCGATGGTGAGAAAATGTGCATGTAGCTGCTTGATATGGTTGAAAGTGGTGCCTAGACTCGAGCAATGAAATAAGTGCTAGGAGCAATTCTTTGGCATGCGAGGGCGAGGGAGTAAGATGAAGGCGATAATTAATGAGCTGGAGGCTAGAGGAAATTTTATCTTTTATGAAATAATTATTGTTCGATGAGATAAAAAATACATATTACTAACAAAGAATTTTTTTAGAAATTTTTATCCTCTTCGCATTGAAAGAAAGAACTTTTCAGATTTAATAATAAAAAAATTATTGGACTAGGATAAACAAATAGAGGGAAATAGGGTCCCCTACCTAATTCCCCTATAAGCACCATAAAAATCAGATGTAAATCCATTGATGCAATAAGTAAATTTTGAAGAATCAGGCAAAAATATCATAGAAATTCATGCATCACATGATGTTTATAAGAGCATCCCTATACATTCAGTCATAAGTTTTTTTTATATCATATTTTATAAAAATTAAGGGCTTCTTACCCTTACACTTACCTACCATAGTATGCACTAACTTATTAACAATTTAAATATTATTATAAATGTTACGCTCCTTAATAGTACCTTGATCAATGACCAAATTCAAAATAGGAACCAATACGAGAGAAATAATTTTAGTTAAGAGATTATAAATAAGGGCACTAGGATGAAAATTAAAAAAAAATTTAGGGCTATTAATTTAAATGTGAAAACCAAATGAGCGTAAACCCTAATTTTTAGAAATATTGATAATATTACGGAAATCAATGAATAAGTCATTCTATATTATCTGATACCACCCCACAAATTCTAACAAGATGACATTAACATATGAGACTAGAAGCTGAGAATTATTATGGATTATGTAAATAGTATTTTTTTTCCCTCCTCAGATTAATCAATTTATGAAAAAAAAAATTATGTAAAGTCTTTAAAGTTTCTAACTATGTTAGTGATGCCTTTACAAAAGACCTCCTCATATTTGAACATGTGAGACCTATGAAGATTAAGATTAATCAAGAACCCATCCAATCTATAACTGTATAAAACTAAATCAATCAAACTAGAATAAAATAAGAAATTATATAAATCTTGAATAGATATATTTAGCAAAAATAATCAACCCATATTTTTTTTTTCAAGAAAAGGTAATATGATATTCGTAACATTCAAAGCGAACAAAATCTAAATTGATACAAGCCAAATTCCAAGGCTTATGGATATAAGCATTATTGCTAATATAAATAATTAGAGAAATTTTAAGATATTTTCTCAATTATTTGTTTACTATTATACTATATATATAATATAATTATAAGCTCGAGTACAATCGGATCCAAACCATTTTTTTTTTCTTTCTCAACGTTTGATTAGATCAAATAAAATTTACGTCTTCTAAAATTTGAATTAAATTATCTAAACAAATAGTTGAGTTTGAATTTAAGTTTTCACAAAATTCATATGTACCGATATGATTGATATTTTTGGTCACTCGACGACACATGGGTGGATGGAGTTTGATCAACCAAGGTGTGATGACATGATTGACCTTCCAACATGAACAAAAGTCGAAAAGAATAATTTCCTTTGAATATTCTCAATTCAAGTATTCCTGAGAATTTTGAAGGATTAATTTTGGATCCAAAATATTTTCGAATTTCCTCACCTTGGACCTCTTATTTAGTACTTCGACTTTAAAAAGTCTAATTAAATGAACATTCATCTTGAATTTCTTATCAAAAGTTTAATTTTTAATATATTATTAATTTTAGAAAACAAATAAAATCGGATAGATCGATAATCAATTTCAATAATAAAGATAGGTGTCGATCTAGTTTTGCTCAAATACATCCGAACAAGAAATGAGACTACTAAGATGCAATAGCTGTGGGCATCTCATCTTTTTTTTAGGTCGAGGGGCAACTAAAAGAGGATTCCCTCCTCTTTAATAATGATAGGGCAAATGGACGAAGGAATATAAATGTGACTCGATCCGTCTTCATCTACCTTTCTCTTTGCTTATTCCATAGACCTCGTACCTACTTTGATTTGGCAGTGGTTGGATGTCCTAATTCCATACCATAAATGCCATTCATCTCTCTTTCTTCCGCTTAAGGGTGTGGAGAGTGTTACATACATACATACATACATATATATATATATATATATATATATAAAATCCTTTTTTCCATACATATTAATTTCGATATTGGTGTTCAAATTAAATTCAAAAATCAAGCCAAATTAAAATCGAATCTCAATTGAATAAAATTGGTTCGATTTTGAAGATTATTCTAATCGGAGAGTACCATTAATTGATTTCATTATTCGATTTAAATTGAACCGAATTGATTTTAATCTAACAGATATGAATTCATTATCAAACAGTTCAAACTAGTTAATCAATCATAAGCAAAACACTTATATAAATTGATTTCATTATCACATAAATGACGTGGGTTCAATTTATAAATGCTCATTAATTGATTTCATTGTTATGTAGCTAATGTGGGCTCAATTTCATAATTATTGTGATGTGATATTAAATTGAATTAAATCGATACATTTAAATTACTTAAAATTATAAATCGATCGGTTTGATTAAGTAGATTGTTCCGATTCGGACTATCTTATTTTAATCAAATTAAACAAAAAAAATTCGATTCAATTTGATTCTTAATGATTGGGTTCGAATTAGTTTTAACGTCTATCTTTCTTTCGAGTCTTATAATTATATCGATTAATTAACATATAATGTTATTACTATGAAGCTTACTATTTATATTATTTTGTAGTATTTATAATTCTTTTTATTATTGATTATTTTTTTTCAAATAATAAAATGATATTTTTATTATGTTGCCATCACTTTTTACCACATTACTAATCATCATCTTAAACTAATCCACGTGTTTCTTTATTTTTATTGTATTTTAGCACGTGTCGTCCTCCATGAGGAGGCACATACTAATCTCTATCCGCCCGCTTCCCTCCGATTCCATCAGACGGCCGGGGATGAATCCATCCACCCTAAAGGAGGTCAAGACCTTTGAAACCAAAACCGGGGCTACCGGCTTCTCCCGGTCACCCCACCTCACCTTCCGCCTTACGCCTGCCTCTCTATATATCATCGCCGAAGTAACTCTCGCTTATGTCTTCTGCTCCTCCGCCTCCTCTTCCTTCGTCCCTCTGCTATCCGTCGAAAGAGCAGAAGGCTTTCGATCCCTTTGTCCTTCGACTCCCCATCGGACCCGATCTCGGGTGCTCCGTCTCCATTCTCGAAGCTCTGATCATTGGGCTAAGAAAGATCTGGGGATTGGAGGGCGGAACGAACGACGACGAGGGTGGAAGGTCGACGCGATCGGAGGTAGGAGTCTCTTCCATTGGATGCCTTGGCGGATCCCATGCCGTCGATTTGATCGTCGAAGTCCGAAGTAGATGTTCCGTAAGAACGACTCGGCCTTGTCCTGCTTCTATCTCTTCTTGCTCTGGTTCTTCTTCCTAAAATAGCGAGGAAGGATCCGAACCCTAAGCTGCGACGAGTGCTTTGCGATGGGGAAGAGGTCGAACCGGATCGAGGACGAGTTTCTTGGAGGAGCGATGTTGGACCTCAACTTGGCGTCTTCCAGCGAGCACTCTGGCGCCGGGCAGGTGGATGATTCCAGGAGTTCCAATTCGTCGGGCCTCAACGCCGAGGTGATGGTCGATGTGATCGACGAGGATTACTGCTCCACCCAGCCTGCCGCTGCCTTCGAATTCAGTATCTTGAAGAGCTGTACGTCGGGTGAAGGCGGGAATGAAGTCGAAGAGGAGAACGAGGACGATCGGCGACAACCTGGTCTAGTCACGAGGCAGCTGTTTCCACCACCGCCGGTGGTTCCGCATGTTTCCCAACTGCCCATGGTTGCTTCTTCCTCGTCGTCAACCAGGCCGCATTGGTTGGATTTTACGTTCTCGCATGCCGAGGCACCAACGGAGTTGAGAGTTATCCATAAGCAGCAGCAGCAGCAACAACAACAACTACAACCGCAGCAGCAGCAACAACAACAACCACAACCGCAACAGCAGGTGAAGAGGAGTCGAAGGGGGCCACGGTCTCGGAGCTCTCAGTATCGAGGAGTTACCTTCTACCGCAGGACAGGGAGATGGGAATCTCACATCTGGTTAGCAACTTGGCCCTTCGAATCGTAGTCATTTCTCCCCTAAATCGGGTAAATTGACATGAGTTTTGTTTTCTTGGGCAGGGATTGCGGCAAACAAGTTTATTTGGGTGAGCAATTTCTTCTGTTGTCATCATTGATTTATGTGCTTCCATATATATTTTTTATGATTGACTCTTGTTTTACAGGTGGTTTTGACACGGCTGATGCTGCCGCAAGGTGAGATTTGGTTTTCTCGTCTGGTCCTTATCTTCATCTTGTCATGTCTCTACCTATTTAGGCAAGAATATATGGGCAGATGTATTCTATTTTCAGGGCATATGATCGAGCTGCGATTAGATTTCGTGGAGTTGATGCTGACATCAACTTCAATCTCAGCGACTATGAAGAAGATCTGAAAGAGGTTACTATATATCATTCTTGAATAAGTTGCTTGATTATTCTTTAGATGGCTAAATTCTTTCCTTTTTTCGTTTCTTTTAACCCTTTCCAGATGAAAAATCTACCAAAGGAAGAATTTGTGCATGCTCTTCGTCGCCAAAGCACTGGGTTCTCGAGGGGAAGTTCAAAATATAGGGGAGTGACTCTTCACAAGTGTGGTCGCTGGGAAGCTCGCATGGGGCAAGTCCTTGGCAAGAAGTAAGAAGTTTGTGTTAAAGTCCTTGACTAAGCCTGCTGTGGTCTTTGATTTCAGATCAGAATGAGTTCTTGCCTTTTACATGTTGTTCCTTAGTTTGTCAAGTTGATTCTTGATAGATCTTTGATATGTTAGAGTCCTTGTCATTTGACAAAAAAGAAAGATCACATAAAAACCCACCCTTTACCAATGAGAATATCAATGGATGTGCAGGTACATATATCTTGGGTTATTCGACAGCGAAATAGAAGCTGCAAGGTCCTCCTGAGCATGGATTATCTCATTACTAATGATGATTTTCTGATTACTTTTTTTTTTTACTTAAACCAGGATTTTGTTCTGACACCATTTTTTCTGTTTGTCCCCTTTTTTGTTTTTCATTAGGGCTTATGACAAGGCAGCTATAAAGTATAATGGAAAGGAGGCTGTTACAAATTTTGATCCAAGTACCTACGAAGAAGAACTACTTTTGGAGGGTGATAAAGAAGGTGCAATCCACATATTGCAACCTCTTACTAATCTGTTTTATGCAAATCTTTCCCTGAATTAAACTGATGGGAGTTCAATGTTCTGAATTGCTGGCAGGCCATGATATGGATCTGAATTTAAGGATTTCGCAACCTGCTGTCCACAATCAGAGGGGGAATCAAAATCCAACGTGTGTTCAATTTGAAGCTTCTGATGCTGACAAAGCAAGTATAACCCATTTGCCATATCCATAAATTTTGGTCTCTCTTTTTCGCAGTCAGACTTTTTCTAAGCTTGATTCCACTTTTCTGTGTGGTTCCCATGTAGACATTCTTCTTTATTTCTTTTAGAATTGAAAAAGGAGGACTTAGACTCTCATATTTAATCACTGGTAGGAGCTCTCTATTTTTTTAATTGTATAATACAGTTCAAAAGTTTTTCCTCTCATCTTCTTCTCCTCTTTTTTCCTTCTGCAACTGATTAACAATGCTTTTAAAAAGTCATATGGTATTTATGCCACATATCTCACCTGTAGAGATTGAGCACCCTCATTTTGGACTGCTGAATCCAACACTTTCTTTCTCATGATTGAGGCACTGTCTCGAAAAATGCTGTGTTAAATTGCAAATTCGGTCGATTGAAGTGAACTTCCATTGTGGTTGGATCACTTAACTAAAATACAGATTAAACTTGAATGGTTGCTTAGTTCTTTGGGCATGACTTATGATTTGAATATGGTTTATGATAAAGTCTCGTTATCGTTTTATGGAATGAGAAATGCTTTTTACACCCACAAAAGTAGGCCAAAAAAGAAATTTAGATTATCCTAACCATCACTTGCATCAATCTCCTATGCAATCGTGAATGGTGCCATCCCCCATTGATCTTTGCCATATTTTGTTTTGTCGAGGTTGTCTTGTTCGTATTCCATTTGTGGATGCCTAATTCACTGCTCTCATTGGTTTTTTTTATTGCTGATGCGGTATCATAATTGTTTGAAAATTTGAAGTTCGGTACAGCTTGGACAGCAACATCTAAATCATTTGAGTTCATGAATAATTAGACAGCTAATCAAATGTTGTATATTGATTGTCGAAAGCCTTGTTGTTAATGTGCATGTAATCCAATGCTTTATACGTGCAAATGTAGATGTTTTTCAATTCTTCCATTGTTTGATTTGGAGTTCGATGATAGAGTGCCCTTCTCAAACTCTGATGCCCGTTTTGGCTTTTATAACTTGGTAAAATGCTTTCAAGCTCAAATGACTGGCATGCATCATTTATGAGAAGTTGTCTTTTTAGACATAACTTGGTATGGGTGTGCCCCAGAAAGGCGAAAGATTAACAACCATCTGATGCAATGAACATCACACAAATATACATTATCGTTGATCTTTCTATGTACAACTTCATTGATGAATTGAACTCTCTAATGAGATGGTTATGTGACCTTTTAAATGGTTATAGAAATATTTGGTGTCAGTATCATTGCCTTGCCTGTAGCTCTTATGGTTTAAAGCCTGCTTTTGCAGTTCCATGGCCCGAAAGGCTCATCAAGTAAAATTTTATTCTTTGTTTTTTTGGTAGAACAATCATTGTATCTCCTTTGTACTTTCTACATACAGTTCTAGGCTTTTGGCTTTTCCTAGGAGAAAGCCAGGTAGTGTTAAGAGGTCCATGCGGAAGTGAGCACTACTAGGGCCCCATCTCACCCTCCTAAACTCACGTTAGGGCTTTAAACCTTTAAGCCTGTTACATGCTCCTGTGAAGGTTAGGTAGTGTCCATCGGAGCCTCTTATATTAATCTGGGATAACTGCAATCTGCTGTATCTATTTATCTCTTGTTACTACATGATTTTTTTTTTTATGTTCGACATCTTTTCTAGTTGTTCTAACAGTTTCTGGCAACAAATGCAGGACAGGATGAGACAGAAGAGCTCTGAGTAGGTTGGTTCACAAGCTCTCACTGTTTCCGTCTGCAGCATCACCAGGATGCTGCTCTTTATCAACAGCAATGACCAGCTTAAACAACCCATGGTCTCCGTTTCTCCCCAGAAGCTGTTTCAGTCTCGGTGCAATGTTGCAGACAAAACAACAGTGAACATGCTGTAAACCTATCAACAGGGTAAGGCGGAGGCTCTACCCAGTTTCAAAGACACATTACTTGACGGTGCTTGTTTCTTAAAAATCCTTGTGGCGAGTTCATTTTCCCTTTTGTCTTATTTTGGACGTGTGAGGAGGAGCAATGTTTTCAGCTCTTCCTCTTTATGGAACCTTCACTGTTTGCTTTAGCTTCAAAATATTCCCTCTTAAACCATCAACTCAGCTTCTTCAACTTGGCAATGTCTATGGGTGACTCTGGTTTCTCGAACTGATCTTAAGGTTGCGTAGACCCGAGACTGCAGGTGGTCAGATTAATATTATTTGTTTGTTGGACGATAAACTTTGACTTATTATTGTCGACGTTCTTGCTTCTTTTGTTGCTTATTATTATTGTGTAGGTACAACAGCAAAAAGCAACAAGTGCAAGTGGACCTGTACCTGGATATTAAACTACTCCGCTCCCGATCTCACAATTGCCACTGCCTATCTTTCAACCATTAAAAGGTACGAGATGCTTTTAGGTTTGTACAGTCTCCAGCTTGTGGTAACTCATTTGCTTCCACGTGATTGCCAGGAAAAGGATAAGCCGCAAATTATTAGAGACGTACCACCGTTCGTCCAAACACCGCCAGAAGACTCTTCCCACATGTGAGTTATTCTTTCCCTTTCTTTAAAGAAAACACATGTGAGTATTTTTCTTTTTATTTTTCGAAAAGCAAACCCTTTTTTATACGATTGAATTGGCGTTTACAATCGTCTGCTCTTCCCTACATATCTGTATTATAAGTTTCAAGAATATTTCCTTGTCTTTTGGTGTCAAGAAATATTTCTTAGTTGTGTCCTGTCCTGTCCCAAAAGAAGTCTGCGGAACTAATTAATCCTTCTTGATCGCGAAGAAGCACGTCACTGCTTACGTATGCTTGTTCTCAATTGCTCGTACTTTTTCTTCTCTCGTGTTTGTATGAATCTGTCACTTTAATATTATATTATATTCAAATCCATGTCCTGGCGTTACGTTTTGGCTTCTTCTTCAAGATTTGTTTATGGCCATAGCGTTGTCGGCAATAAGAATATTATACCTTTCTTCGTCTCTTCCTGCCAAATATTCAAATATGAATATTATTCTTCTGAGTCTTAAATCTGACATCGGCTACCGGCAGTCTAATGTTTGTATGTTGTTAATTTCCAGAAGCCAAAGTTAATTTGACATCTGCCTTCTCGGGCTTCGTCTTCGTTCTTCCCGAGGCTCAAAGCCCACAAGTGTTACATCCAGCATCACTTGGAGATTTTGTTAATTTCCATTAGATTTTGTTCTCCAAGAATCACTTGGAGATTTAGCAATCTTGCCAACACAACTTGTGCAAGGTTTCTTTCATGGAGCTGCAGGTTTTCCATTCGGCCTTACATCAGTAGTCTTCAGGGGCGTCATCCCTGAATTCAGATACAGCAAGATCCTAACAAGTTACTGTGAAGATAAGAAGATACTGCATCACCATCATGGTTTGGTCTCCGATCCAACTTAGAATACTCCCACGGCAGAATGCAAGGCGATGTAGTTGCCATTACTGTGGGCTAAAATACTGTTGTTATACCATGCAATGGTGAGCATAAGAAGATTCCTAGGCCATTGTCCTCGGGAATCTTCGCTGAATCTGATCCCTAGACCACCTTCTGCACTGTCTTCCAGCTTTCCGATCGAAAGCTATGTCCTCCCCCATTATCTGCATTGCTTTTAAGAAGGCCAAGCAAAATCATTCAAAAGCAAGCACTGGGGAAGAAAGATCTCAACTTTTTTTTCCACCCGCGTGCACCGACCACAACCAGGAGAGACAAAAAAAACCAGATGGATCAGATGCCAGATCGAATGGAAGAAGGTAACGAAGGCAGGCCACACGAGGAGAAAGAAGAAGATGCAAAGATCCGAGCACTGCCTCTTGGGTCACAACAAGGAAAGCATAGATAAAGTAGGAGAACCTCACTCGAGGGAAGACGATGGAATCCAGTGATCTCTGTTGCCACGTCCCGCTTTTAACTTGAGAGCATCTCTTCCGCATTTATGTTCCTTCATCCGTTCCAGTTGCAATACAGATTTCAGTCTTTGTTGCTTGCTGTGGGGAGATGCACGCAGCATCAACAACTCCTATGGAACTGACATGGGCTTGAATTGAAGTCTTCAACCTTTGTCGACCTCAGCCCTTCATGTTCGACATGTTCATATCCCTCATAGTAGGCAAAGAAAGAAGACGGCCAAGTAATGCCAACAGTTGCAGACAATCACAAGTTAAAAGACACTTTTATTCATCCTTCAACTTTTCCCCCTCTCATAGGTTTTATATCGCACTTAATCACGCTCTAATCCAATTTTATTCAGACTTTCAAATTAATTTTACTTAAATATAAAGTTCACTTAATGTATGAAGTTATTAGGAAAAATAAAAAAAAATCATTCTTAAAATATTAGGTATAACTTTGATAAATAACTAAGAAAATATTTAAGATGATGTGAATATATACTAATGAGATAAATACACATGATAGTTAGAAGATAAAATATACTTAAAAAACCTATAAATTACAAAGGATATGACTTTTCACATAGCTCAATAATGATAAAAGATATATGCAGCCTATATTCATAATAGTTAGAATATATATATATATATATATATATATATGTTTTATTATTCTGACTATTATGATAGCAATGTTGTTGCCTGCAAACAAAAAGTATAAATGCTATTGGAGCTTCCTGGCTTTAATTTATGAAATAATGGGGCGTTTCTGCAAAACTTCCGGAGATCCGTTTCCGCCGTCTTGGACTAGTAAACACCGTTACTTCGACGTTATGATTTTTATTCTTCCGCTACTGGTCCCCTCAGTCCCCGAAGACCCATACCGCCCTCCCATCGCTCTCTCTTTTCCGAACGAGGCAGCCAAAGCCGTTGCTGTAAGCTGACTCGGCAACTTCCCGCACCGTCACACGTGGCCGATACACGATCGGGACGGATGCGCACGGGGCGCGTCAGCTCGCGGCTTTTGATCTTGTCCACGTGTTACGCCACGACGGGTTCATTCATCATCCAACGTGGAATCCATGGCCTGTTGCCCACCTCCACTTGTTCCACGTCATCTCCGTGGAGGCCCTAATCTCTCTCTCTCTCTACCTCTCTACCTCGACGCTTCCGGCTCGGATGTCATCGTCTACCCCCACTCGGACTTTAATTGCGCTCTGAAGCACTCGGCCATGGCGCTTCCCCCTCGACCGTGACTTGAGATTTAGATTCCCCAAGAGGACGAGCCAAATCCATTCCTTCCCCAAAACGTATCTGTTTTGGGATTTCTGGAGGTGCTGGTTAGATTTTCGGGAATGGGTTCCTGAGCCTTTCTGTGGGATTCTCCATTCTGATCGAGGGTTGACGTACTCGAAATCTGATACGTTTTCTTTGTTCTTGTCGGCGTTGGTTGAAGCTGATGTGAATTCCTCTCGATTTGGATTCTTTGCTCATGAAAGGTCTTGTTCCGTCGGGATCTTTGTTCCTTGTGGTTCTCGATTAGTTATTTGGGGTTTTTTTTGTCCGTATTTCTGTTGATTCGTTATCTAGAGCCGTGAATCGTTGGACCGATTCTTTTTTAGTGCACGCCTTGATTCGTTTCTTCAATAATTGTATTTATTTGCAGGTAAATATACTGTTTTACTTGGAATATTTGTTCTATCATTTGCTGATTGGGGGATGACTTTGATCTGTAGGGCTTCGAGTTCCGTTCTTTGGTTCTCACGTACAAAATATTTTCTTGTGGTTTCTGATGTAGGTATTGTTTAGCTGAGTTTGCATATGTGCACATTCCATTGTTGGACAATCGAGGGGATACGACTGGTTCAGCCTAGTGCTATTCTCGATCGTGAGTCTGGTTGATGGCAGGTTCGCATCGTAGGAGCCACGATGGGGTTGGAACCAAGGGGCAGGCGACCAGTAACCATCAGGATCAGAACGGGCACAGGGAAGTCAGGGATGCCACGGCTGGGGAAGGTCAAGGACTCTCGGAAGAAGATGAGTCCAAGATCAATGTCGTGGTCGGAGATCTGAACAATAACCAGATAGCGGATGTCGCACAGCCTTCACAACAGTGTGGTGATCCCCAGAAGCAGCAGCAACAGCCGCTGGGGCCAATCGTCCGCTGGGAGAGGTTTCTTCCCATCAGAACACTTAAGGTTTTGCTTGTGGAGAATGACGACTCCACCCGTCAAGTTGTCAGTGCATTGCTCCGCAACTGCAGTTATGAAGGTAATCATTCCATATTCAATTGGTGTTACATCAACGAATTGTCTTGCTTCTACCACAGTAGATGAACAATCTACTTCAACCAAAAGAAGTAGATGAACAATCTCCACAAGTCAACCCTTTCCTACTCGAGCCTCTCCTCACACTCAAATACTAAATCGACTTCTGATACTAAATGTCACGACCCAAGTTTGATGGGCTAATTGGTCCATCAATTTTGTTTGACCTAAATCACTGATCAAAATACTTAAGCTGAAATTGATAATAGTACATTTATCATACCCTTATAAGTCAATCTTAGTTTTGCCCACTTCCGATGTGTGGGACTAATCGGTGTGTTATACTTGTGGCCTTACCGCACCTTACTTGTAATATTTTGTCAACGTGCATCTACTTTCCGTTTTGTTGTTTATTTTTCTCTTTTTGTTACGTCATTTTGCCTTGCTTGCTTATGAATCATTTTTCCCTAGTGGGATTGATCATTAAAGCCTAGAATAATGAAAATTATTTTTTTATCACAGTGATCTTAGACAAAAGATTAAATTCATTTAATGTTCAAGCCTATGATGGACTTTTTATCATAATAGTAAAGAAGGCCTGCATTGGTGGGAGTGTTGAGTTGTGGGCTTCCTTTTTGGTAGAGTTGGACATTAATCTTGATTTTGGCTCTTTTCTGTTCATCTCATGCATATTTCACCAAACAATATAAATTCACCCTGATATGGATCGTTATCTAATGCTTGTCAACCTTTGGTTTAAACTATTGTCTTGCATTAAGTTCCACACAAGTCCATTATTTCATCTTGCTTTCACTTGAGAGGGGATGTTAGAGCTCATATGTTGTGTTATACCTCTTTTAGGAATATTGGTTATCCGGCACCCACTAGAAACTTCTGGACTGGTTGTGGGCCAGGTCAACATACATCCAATGTGGATCCCATTTAACTGATATTTCTTATGGAGATTTCTACTCGGAACCCCATTTTACTATTTACAACTTCATCTTAAGAACTTTTAATATTCCTAAAATATCCCCTGCAAATAGATGTAATTACCCTCTTTTTCCTCCTCTTCCTCCTCCTCCTCCTCTTTTTCTTCCTCCTCTTCTTTTGCTCCTTTGTCATTATCGCCCTCATTGTCTCTCCCTTCCAATGTTGCTGCTGCTGCCCCTACTCCCGAAATGGCCTCAGGAAGCATCTCCTCCTCTTCTCCTTACCCGGCCTGACGTCGCTGGCTAGCGGCCAGCGGCGTTAAGCAGTGTGGTAACAAAAGGGTAACATTGGTAATCGAGAGGTTGCAAATAGTAAAACTGTCTCTTTTTTTAAGGGGTTTCCAATAGCAAAAAGGGGATTGCAAATAGCAAGCTTCTTTTTTATAACTGATGTAAGCCATATGCTTGTCTTTTTTGCCATTTACGTATATAGGATGTTACGATTAGCAAGGTTCGTCGTACCATACCATACCGATGTTTTGACCTGGGCTCGGTATGGTACGGTACCGGTGTACCGGGCGGTACATCAGGGTGTACCGAGCGGTACGCCTTGGTGTATCGAACAATTTTAAATTTTTTCATACTGTAGCAGTACTACAGTATAGTACTGTAACACTGTAGCGGTACCAGATGGTCCGCGTACCGGTACGTGCCGCCCGGTATGGCAGACCTTGATAATTAGAGCACTACTAGGAATGGTGGTGTATTTAGATTCTGGTCTAACCCTTCTTTTCTGCAGTATCCAGCTGGTTTATTCTCATTTATTCCAATCTGCTTCTTAAATCAGTTTGTTAAATTTGTGTGGTTATAATGATGACTCCAATTATGGACTTAAAATTACATTCCTAAATTCAATTTTGCCCTTTTTTGGTGGACCAGTGAAACCTGGACCTTGCCTGAGTCCCCATGAGATTTCAAAAGCAACCTGGACTCAGAATTGACCTTGGCATAAACTGCAGGGACTGAGGTCCAAAATTCTATATGCTCCATGCAAGGGTGGCTGGTAGTGGTACATGTGCCTGACTTGATGGTCTTGCAATAGAATTTATAGGGTTAAGTGCTCTCTGTGTTTGCATGTAGAAATGACAAATAGTACTATATTAAATGGCAATATACTCCTGAAAAGTTTCTTATCAAATCTTTATAATCAGTTTGGCATTCCTGCTTATAATATTCTCATAAGATATACATATAATTTGGATTATCAAATGCTCTTACTTAATTCAACACCCATTCAGTTACAACTACAATTAATGTTTGAAAAAACATATGATGGCTTCAATATTATCAGGGATCACTCTATTTAATAATAAGAAATCTCCTGGTTTGATCAGTTTGATGGGCTTGGGACATTTCTTGACCTAAAGCTTCTTCTTTTTTTTAACAGTTACTGCTGTTGCAAATGGTCTACAAGCATGGAAAATATTACAGGATTTAACTAATCATATCGACCTTGTCATAACTGAGGTTATCATGCCCGGTTTAACAGGCATTGGTCTTCTGAGCAAGATCATGAGCCATAAAACTTGCAAGACTATTCCTGTGATCAGTGAGTATTATTCTTGTATCATGTTATTAAAATAACATCTTTTGAATGTGTTCATAAATTATTCATGCTTCATACTTTTAACTGCTTCACTTTATGAGCTTTATGTGCAGTGATGTCATCAAATGATTCCATGAATACAGTCTTTAAATGTCTGTCAGAAGGTGCAGTTGACTTTTTACTGAAACCTATCCGGAAGAATGAGCTTAAAAATCTTTGGCAGCATGTATGGAGGAGATGCCACAGCGTAAGCTACTATGTTTACCGATAATTTCAATATGGCATAGGTCAAGATGAGTCATCATATATATTATCATCATCAGTATCTTCAATCTATAATGGATCAAGAAGGCCTTTGGTAGTGGTTCACTCACGTGTGGACTTTTTGTTCTCTCTCCTTTGTTGCTTGTATAAGCTAATCCTTCTCCTGTGTTTGCTATCTAGTTACACCAACTTTGCTTTATTGCAGTCCAGTGGTAGTGGAAGTGAAAGTGGCATCCAAACCCAGAAATCAGTTGAGTCAAAGAGTTCTGATGACTCTAACAATAGCACTGGAAGCAATGATGATGAGAATGCTAGTGTAGGGTTGAATGCAAGAGATGGCAGTGATAATGGAAGTGGAACTCAGGTGAACCTTTCACCTAAGATTTTTCACTTATTTTCTTATTTTTTAATTAGGAAAGCATAAAATATAATATTTGTATCATGGTTCGCATAATCGATCCATACCAGAATACCGACCAGTTGTTGGTATGATATGTATCAAGTTGTATCGAGCGTACTGACATATGGTACACTAGGATGTACCAATGTACCGCCCATACTAGTCATCTATTAGACCAGTACGTACCACCCATATTGAGCGGTATGCTTCGATACGTCAAACCTTTATTTGTATGATTACTAATAAATGTTTAATGCATCCAAATTGTCTTATGCTGCAGCTTCAATTTTATTAGGAACAATACACTTTCTTTTTTGAATGTGGCTTTTTTTGTTGATATCCGAAGTTCTGAACATACACATGGTTCTAGTGCTACTATTAACTTTGTGGGTAACAACTGGAAGTTCAAGAACCTAGAAATGCTATACTGCTGTATTTTCATCTCTATTTGTCCAACCTGCCTGTTCCTTAAGTTCAGTGACATTATTTGGTTCATTAATTTTCTTCATTCAAAGCAAAGAACCCACCTTAATCATAATTTGCAAGCATCAGAATTGTTATCTTGTAAACAAGTTATGAGTGGAAGATTTCATTATCTTGTTGTTTTCACTTCTGAAATGAGCAATGGTGCATTCGTAATATGATCCATTGACATCTTAACTTGCTCATACATAGCATAACAATCAGGTTTCACTTGGTGACAAGCCTTTCTGAAGTACTCAAACAATTGATACTACAGATTAGATCTATCTTTTCAGATTGTTAGGTCCAGTGGCATTATGCTGAAAGTACAAAAAGAATACAGCAATCTGTATCGGATAGAGCAATCTGTTGGAGGATCATTGACTGGATCTACCAACGAATATAAGGATTTTCTTTGGTGTGTTTATTTATTTATTTTTGGGTGTGGGACATAAACAAGTCTCTTTGAGTATCAGAGATCTCCCTTTTATCTAATCCATGGCTGTACCATCAGCATGCATAATCAGTAATTTATTCATTTCCGTTTGTCCACCCTTTTAATAGAGCCTTTTATTCTAGTATCATCGGAGTGTGATGATCACAAAGATCAGAATCTTCCTAAATCGTTTATGATATTTATCTAGCTTAGAGAAATCATTGCTCATATAGGTACCTAATATGTAGTGTATGTGGGCCATACCATTGTTTTTCCTGCTTCTCTTATAGGATATTCTTAAGAAAAACCAAGAAGAAAAGGCGATCAAGCTAGTAGACTAGCTCAAAAGGTAAAGAAGTGTTGTTTTCTAAATAAATAGAACTTCCTGGTATGTTTTCTCACATTGAAGACCTTGATGTGTCTCATTCCATCTAAAGTTGGATTAATCATTAATTAAAAAATTTCATATATACCCCTGCAAAACACCAGAAGTATCAAATTAATCCCTCCAAACTTCAAAATGTCAAACATATCCCATAAAATTTGTAGTTTATCGAATACATCCCTCCCATCAGCTACCTTTAGTGAGTGTTGCTCGAACATTAGCTAAATGCAGGTGAGGGATGAATCAAATATGGGAAATAACCCTTGTACCTCCAACTTAGCAAGCAACCTCTTTTTTCTTCTTACACCTTCCAAACTTGATCCTGACCAAGTCTTTCCCAGATGCAAATTCTCCTTAAACTTGATTGCAATGACAAAAGGTTATCGAAGCTTCATATCAAGCACATTGTGATGAGAAAATGAGTGGCAGAGATGAATGATTTTATGGAGTGAAGCCGAGAGGTGCTTGCCGTTCATAAAAAGTGGACCAGACTATATGAGACATTTATTTAAGTCAGGCCATTAAGGAATTAAGAAATCAGAAATGATCATTTCACCAGTTGTAGGATCATACTTGAGCCCCATAAAAGTCAAAGCAAGCATTAGGCTAGCAGTCAATGATCAGATGAACATATTAGATAAAATTTTCACTTTTGAAGGGATAGTATGTTATTTTGAAGTCCGGATGGATTAATAAGACATTTGACTGTTTTGAAGGGATATTTGTGAAAAAAAATCATAATTAATTGGCAGAACTTTTTGAATGAACAAGTGTCGTCGCCTTTCTTTTGCAACTTCCCAACATTACTTTCAGAACTAAAGGCTTCCATACAGAACAAATGCTTGACAAGATTCTAACTTTGACATGCAGAGCTCCTGGACAAAGTTTGCTGCAGAAGTTGACAGCCCCCAACCTATGTGTCCTTCATATCGGTTAGCAGATCCACCTGACAGTACTTGTGCACAGGTCATTCTCCCAACAACTGAAACCTTCTGCCAAGATCAGGTTCCTACATCTGCCAATAGTGACAACCAGGGTAAAAAGGAACTTCCTGGTAGGCTAATGTTTCTTCAAAGATAACTAGATTCTTGCACTGTTTCCAGTGTTTTTGTTAACCCTGTTCTGTTCCTTAGATGATTGCATGATCAAAGACTTGGAAATTCGAGGACACAGGACCCTAGAAATGCAATATGAAACTCATCAAATTGAGCAGGACTGTATCAAGCTAACAAACACAAAAGCGGGTAACTTGTCTGAAACGGACCCCAAGATTAAGGGATGTTTAGGCGCTCTTTGCAACAATGTGTTGGATGAGCCAAGTTCTAATCCGATTGGTGTGACTGCCAATAGCTCAGATACTCGAGTGCTGACCACGGTTATTCAGGCTCCTAGTGGCTTCTCAAAGTTCTCAGAAGGCCAAGACAAGATTAATTACACCTCTGTGGATCTACCATCCCTTGAGCTGAGTTTGAAGAGACTGAGATCGATTGGTGAGAGCAGAACTGCCACTCAAGTTGACCGCAATGTTCTAAGACATTCAGATATGTCTGCATTCTCAAGGTGCAAGAAACAGATATTAATTATTTTTTAATTTTTATTCCTTTTATAAATAAAATATTCTAACTGCTCTAACTGTTCAAGATATCACACATCTTCTGCTTCTAATCAAGCTCCTACTGGATGTGGACAAAGCTGCTCTCCACTTGATAACAGCTCAGAAGCAATTAAGACAGAGTCCACATACAATGTAATCTCTACTTCAAATGCGGCTCCCTTGAAACAAGGTTCCAATGGCAGTAGTGATAACAATGATATGGGATCCACTACCAAGAATGTCTTCACAAAACCCTCAGCTTTTCATCCGGTGCAGTTTCGAGCCTCAGAAAGTCAGGAGCCTGCACAACAGAATGTGGAAAATGTGACAATAGCTTCAGCCACAGGTCAATCAAGGGAGATTCAGCATCAAGCTCAGGCTCAACATCATCATCACCACCACTATCATCATCACCACCACCATATTCACAATGTGCAGCAGCACAAACCACAGCCACCAAAAACTCACAATGATTTGCCACTCAATAACAGGGCAGGATCTGCACAACAGTGTGGGACTTCCAATAGGCTGCTTGAGGGTGATGCTGCAAATTATAGCATAAATGGAAGCAATTCAGGCAGTAATCACAGTAGCAATGGGCACAATGGAAGTCATACGGTTATCCAAACTGGAGGATTGAATATAGAGAGTGCTAATGGTATTGCAAACCAAAGTGGACCTGGAAGTGGGAGTGGCAGTGGTAGTTTAATAGATGAGAATCGGTTAGCTCAACGAGAGGCTGCCTTGAAGAAGTTTCGACAGAAACGGAAAGAAAGGAATTTCGGAAAGAAGGTAACTTGCTTTGTTTGGTATTACTAAATTTTCTTTCGAGGGCATATTGTGATCCTTGAACATGAACTGTATGCATCCCAATAAGAAAGAGAAGTTCAGTGTGCTAAATTTACGTTTATGTTATCATATTTAAATTTGTCAGCCAGCCTTTGACTAACAGAACCAGAAAATAAAATAAACATAAAAGCAACAGTGAAGCAAATAAAAAAATGACGAGCAAGCAAAAAAAGTGAAATTCAGAATTCTGTTTAAATTTTTTCTTTGAGGATCATAACAAGGGATCTCACTGGTTCTTTTCTAGTTTGATCATGGGGAATATAGGATTTAATTAAAGGAACTGACCAAGACATATGTTGCTTACAAAATTGTATGTGTAGTTTACAATACTTGTTGGATCGGTATGTACTGACTGCTATTTACCTTATTTACTGGTTTGATCAAGTACCAAAAGCAGACCATACAGCTTGATTTACATTGTATATCACATATTATATTATTATTTTATTTAGTGAACAAGAATTCGGTATTTTTGTAGCATACATGTCAATGGATTATTAGAACGGCTATGGTACTAGTATTTAAGACCTTTGTTATAAGTACATGTGGGGGCCTCATCTAGTGTCATGTCTTTGTGTTTTTTGGTTATTTATGAAGTTGGGTAAATATAATTATATGCTTCCTATTCTGAAATTCAACTATGCTGCCTCTTTTGATGCAAATGAACTCTGTTGGTAAATATATGGTTACGACTTACAACAACAGAAGTAACCATCTGGAGTCTTTAAAAAAGGTAGACTAACATAAAAGGGAAACGTAGTACTTCAGAGAAGAACATGGGATTTAAACAGTTGCTTTGGTGATTCTAATTTTCTAAGGATAGCATGCTGAATCTCAACTGTCATTGAAAATATTATTGTTTTCTTACTTTAATCACAATGTATACAGGAATTGGCATTAGATTATGCATATTGTTTTCCGGACCTTCTATTTTTCGTCTTCCTTCAAGTGACTACTGTTTGTTTTCTCTTGTGTGTTAAGGAGTGACAAACTTGCAAAAATGTTTACTTAAGTAGGATAAGCTTTATAAAGGAGAGCCTCAATAACATGTACCAAATATTTCTGATTGCTGTGGCGCCTGCTTGCTTTTCAGCATCATAATCGGTCATTGATTTAATCTTCAAGCAATGTTTTGCCATAATTTTTCTATTTAAGTGTGCCTTATAGAAATTACAGTTGAAAGTGGAATTTTGTTGGTTTTGGTTACTAGGTCCGCTACCAAAGCAGGAAGAGACTCGCAGAGCAGCGGCCACGTGTTCGTGGACAATTTGTTCGGCAATCTGTGCAAGAACAAAGTAGCCAAGATGCAGATAGATAACCACCATGCATGTGGTTTTCGGGGCTACTAAAGTATTAGAAAGTAGGCATTTGAAATTGCTTGATGAAGAACAGTTGATTGATGGATAGTTTCCAGTTAAATGATGTGAGAACACTAGATAGAAATGACTTTATGTATTGTACCAGTAACAATCACATGTGTGTATGTTTCTTTTTTTGCCTCTTTGTAAACCCTGGAGAGGTATCAATCAGCTATACTAAGTAACTGCATTCCTAAATCGCTAGAATTTGTAGTTTCATGCTGTCAAAACTTTTGCCATATCATGGACTCTTTACTCTGGGAACTAATAAGCTAACTTGTCTAGTATGACAAGCATACTATTCCTTGGTTGAACTAAATATGCTGGCTTCCACTATGGATTTAGCAAGCTCATTCAGCATATGAGATCATCAATATTGACCAGTTTGGATAGATCATGGATGTGAAGTTGCCACACTAGTCATAACCCAAGACATGCATTGATGAGTTCAATAATTTTGATCAATAATTTAGTCTCAACAAAGTTGATTACAAGTGTTGCAATGTTAAAGACTGCTGGAAGTGTTGCAATGTAAAAGGAACTGCCATTGGATTCATAGTTTTGGCCAGGAATCCTATGGATGTATCCGGAAGTCAACTTGCATTGGTGTTTTCTCTTTTATCACTCGCAATATAGAGCGAAGCTGCAAATTTTTGAAAAGATTAATGGCCCGAGTCCTTAGGTCTCTCTCTCTCTTATGAGTTGATAATATGAGCACACTATTCACCAAACATTTCTATTATTATAATTTTTTATTTTGAAAACAAAAAATGGAGAAGATGTTGTTGTTGTTGTTATTGGATAGCAAGTGAAGAAGACAGGAAATGTTTTGATGCCAAGCATACATTTATTGTTGTTGTTATTGGATAGCAAGTGAACAAGGCAGGAAATGTTTTCATCCCTATCATACATTACATGGTGGTAGTAGCCATCTTCATTTATAGTTTGCCCACAGGATTAACAAGCATCACCGCCACACGTGCGCGTTTCCTTTGTCCCTTCGTCTTCGGCTTCCCGGTCCGCTCGTTCTTCGTCTCCATCGCCTCTCTCGATCCTTCGTCGGCGAGGTCGGTAATTCCCATTTCTTTTAGTTAACATTGAAGCCCAGCCATCCGCTAGCGTTGTCTTCTCCTTTCTTCCTTCTTCCAAACAATTCCATGCCCCCGACCTTCTTCCCTTCCTCAACCCTCCTCAAGGTTGCTGTCTCCTTCCCCTCCCGCCACCATCACCCTCCCTCCCCCCTTCGTCATGGAAGAAAGCACAACCAGCAGCAGCACAAATCGGCTCATAGAATCGTCCGTTTCAACGCCGCTGCCGATCCCAGCGTCGCCCTAAATCCATCCGTCGGCCCGAGGAGTCTCGTCGGTGCCCTAATCAGCGGGACGGGTTTCCGCGGCTGGGCCCGACCCGCCGGGGCCGATTCGTGGTGGATGATGAGGCCCGGATCTGGGCAGGCGACCTTCGGTCGAGGCTTCCTCGGCGCGAGAAGCTGGGCGGCCGGCGGGCCGGATCGCGGGGGTGCCGGCGAGAGGGACGCAGTTCAGGTCGTGGGTCCGGCGGAGTCAGGAGAGATGGAGATCAATGGGAGTCATCCTCCGCGGCAGCAGCAAGAACAGAGAAGTTCTGATCCTCCTACGTTGCTCACGCTGCCAACTGTTCTCACCCTCGGGCGAGTCGCGGCAGTTCCCCTTCTTGTGTGCAGTAGGTTTCCATATCTTCTCCTCATTTTGTTGTTCATTGAACAGGAATTCCAAAGATAATGGTTTACTGTCCTTATAAATATCTCATAACATTTTTCCACCCAATTATTTTCTTCTGTGGTTACTTATCTAACAGCTGAGCGACCGATTGCAACTTTAAAGGTCTCCAACTAGGTTTGCTTTAGTTTCAGTTGCCTCTTGCTGAAACCGTCAGCCAATTTTAGTTTGCAGTTCATGACTAAATTGGGTTAATCAGTACAATACGGGGTCATGTAATTAGCCCCTTCACTATTTTATGAGCGACATTTTGCTCAACTGAGAAAAAGTCATTGCCAACCTATTTCCCTACGAAATTGAATGAATTTAGAGTTTTATTTAAATTCTTACTGCCTTTTACTTGGATTGTATTCAAACTAACATTGGCTAGATAGTTTCTCCCAAACCCAATTTACTTTTCTGGGTGATAGTTCTATTTGTTAATTGTAAAAGTAAGTGAATATCTACAATTCTACATGACCTTTTACTTGCCTGAAAAAAATTATGGAATGGGAATAAAAAGAATTACAATTTAACTTTAAACATGATCGACATGTGGGTGCTAGTTTAGATAATAGGAGTCATGTTAGTTCAGATCAAATACACCAAGAGAAGCAGAGCCGTACTCGAGAAAACTTGATTTTGATCAATAAGAATGAATATGATGGCCATTGATTTTATCTATGACATTGCCCTAAACGGAACACAATGGAGGGAAAACAAGCATACGGTTGATACGAAAAAATTGTGAAAAGAGGCCTGTTATCATTAATGTTGGTCGTTGAGACGTTATTGCAAAGCTTAAATAATAATGCGGTTTTCTATTGAAAAGTTTGTAATGTTCCATAATGAATTTCAGGTGTTGGATCTTATTGATCTAACATTTTTTACATTTTAGAGTGTGGAAGGTTTGGCATGGCCTGTGCTAGTGTTTTTCAAACCATATATGTTTTGGCAATCAACATCTATGCCTAATAGCTCATTTTTCAATATACTTCAACTGTTAATTTCATGCTTTGTATTCTTTGTACAGCTTTAGCCTTTAAGATCTACATGTCCATGTTTTTTCACTTTGTTTAGCTAATATGTTCTTTGCCTGACTAGCTTATTACATGAATGGTTGGTGGGCGACAACTGCTACAACAAGCATCTTTATTGCCGCAGCAATCACAGACTGGCTTGATGGTTATATTGCTCGAAAGGTTTGTGGCCACTTTAAGTGACACCTATTTCAGAAAGTAGTACGATGCGACTGCATGCTTTGATGGAACATTTTCTTTTCAAAATATTGGTATACTTCAGAAGCATCTGGGAACAGCATTTGGGGCATTTTTGGATCCAGTGGCTGACAAGGTATTCCCATTGCCTTATGCTCAACGTTTTGTTTCTTCTCTGCTAGTTGATATGAGATGGTTCCTAATAGCATCATTGGACTTCTCTTGACAGTTTTAAAGTGTTCATTTGAATTCTTATGCTGGTTTAATATAGCTTATGGTAGCTGCCACACTAGTATTGTTGTGTACTAGACCCTTGGAAGTTGGTACATTTGGAGAGGTACCATGGCTTCTAACAATACCTTCAATTGCAATTATTGGAAGAGAGGTAACCAGCTAAATCTAACTTTCTTTTGCTTTGAAATTTTTACTTCAGCGTTACCTGGGTTCATATTGTTTATTCTCTCTGTTCTTTTTACTTTTGTTGCTTTTTTCCTAACATTTTGGAGTTAACATAATGTTGCACCATCTTGTTCTCTTTTCTTAACAGTTTGGTTAATTAAAATCCTCTTTTTGAGAGAGAAAACATAATTGATGTGGAGTTTGAATACTGGTTCATCTATGCTTATTTTATTTTAGCCATTTGATTAGGGAACTCTATACTAAAATTTTTTAAATGTGGTACAGAGAACTGATAGCACTTTTTTTAATTTTAATTTCTTAATTCTTGGTGGAGAAAAACAATATTTCATTAGGCAAAAAATATTATTTCACATTTGAGATATTCAGGTTTTTCATGGAGGAGTTTTTAATTGGTAAAAGGGATAATGAGCTAATTAACACGAACATTTTGCTATGTACCTTCAAGAAATTACTGGGAGATGTGGCAGTAGTTAGTTTCTTGTGACATCAAACCCCATTTTAATTAAGCTAAATTGCTACTTTTTCCTTGCATATTTTTATATTTCTGAATACATCGTCCCAAACCCTTAGGGGGGAATATTTTGATTGATTTTTAATTGAATGGATAAAAAATTTTTGCTTATGTATGTAGTTTTAAATTTTTAATGTCTACTTGTCAACACATGCAAGGTAATATGAGCTGGACTCCATGGGATCCATGCTCTATAAAACATTTTCACTTGTCAGAGACATCCATGGGATCTCATCAAGATAAATTTTTAGACATTCTGGGTTTCTGAGGCATCTCCTAAACTGATTTTCAAAAAATGTATCTTTATAATGTTGAAGCTTGTAGGATTACCTTTTGCCTACATTTTATTATACTCCTTTATCTTATTACTACTTAGGAGTTAGGACTGTATGATATGCTTCCAAATTTGATTCTTGCACCTATATCCATGCAACAGATGTAGGTTTCTTAACCTGCATGACATCTGGATTTCCAGTGAAGTTTTTTGGTGAGATCCGACTTCTCAATAAAAATGTTGGTATAGACAAGGAGTCAAAACTCGGATGTACCAATTGATATGGATTGGTATTTACCAAGGGCTAGCATCGTGCTGAAATTTAATTTCTTGTGTATAGGAATATAGTGTTTAACATTTGTCATCATGAAAATGTATTGCTAGGAATCATGTGATATAGAGAATCATTTTAATTATTTATGGTGAATTTTTGCCATGTATACGATTACAAAGTACAAGTTACTGTATTGCCTGTAGGAATGAAAGCAACATCTTATTATATTCATCTAAATGCTAGCTTGAGGAGTTCAGTGGAGGAAAATAATTGCAAAATGGGTCATTTGATGATGTAATTTAGGCTTTGTTTCCAATGGAATATAAGATGCACCAATTCAGTCCTTTTGTTTAGAAAAGTGTAATGAAAATTAAATCCTGTGGAGCATGCTTGAAGATGTAGACCTTGACGGATGAATTTGTTTCCTTGAGATAAGTTACTCTACCATCTGTGCTTGGTAATGTTGTTGACGAAAAGGGTTTCCCTGTTTAGGAGCGTGTTTGCATTGATAGCATCAGTAGAGGCAGCTAATAATATCATCTGGTATCTCTTTGCAGATCACAATGTCAGCAGTTAGAGAGTGGGCTGCATCTCAAAATAGCAAAGTTCTTGAGGTTGCTTCTGTCGTACAATTCTCTGTTAACAATCTGATGCAGAGATTCCTGATGTCAATTTGTGATGGCAGGCTGTGGCGGTCAATAAATTGGGGAAGTGGAAGACGGCGATGCAGATGATCGCACTGACCATACTCCTTGCAACTAGAGACTCCAAGTTGTCATGCTATTAT